TGAGAAAGGAAAAGAAGAAAATGGAGTAAGGATAAATTATATGAGAATAAGAAAAGTAAAACACAAATGCTTTTAAAAGTGCATTTAGATTTCTAAAGGATAAGACTTTTTATACAACAGACATTTTGATTAAATAACACTTAAATGATTCAACGCAGTTTGAAACAATAATTTTTCCACAGAGTGTGGAAACTTAGAGATAGGCCAGACATGGTGGCTCACACCTGTAATCCCAGCACTTTGGGAGGCCGAGGCGGGTGTGTCACCTGAGGTCAGGAGTTCAAAACTAGCCTGGCCAACATGGTGAAACCTATCTCTACTATATATATATATATATATATATATATATATATATATATATATAAATTAGCTGGGCATGGTGGCATGTGCCTGTAATCCCAGTTACCCAGGAGGCTGAGGCAGGAGAACAGCTGGAACCTGGGAGGCAGAGGCTACAGTGAGCTGTAATCGCACCACTAAACTCCAGCATGCCAGCATGGGTGACAGAGCAAGACTCCATATCAAAAACAAAACAAAACAAAAAATAAAGAAACAAAAAAAATCACTTTGGGTTTTATTGATCACAAGGTAAATGCTTATGCTTATTATTCGGGAGCAAATACACAAGCTTTTTTCCCAGATAATACTTTCTCATTTAAAAGTTAAATTTCATTAATTAGTTCTGCATTTCTCAATTAAGAAAACATGAGAAAAATGCCCAAGTAATGGGGAAACATTCATTCAAGGTAGTGAGCCTGTCTGCTTGTCATCACGGAGAGATGTACACAGCAGTCAGGGCACAGAGTCTAGATATGTGTTGAGCCAGGATCTGGCACCCTGCTTTTTAGCCATGTGAGCTTAGCTTTGCGTTCTCCCAGAAGTAAACCAGAGACAAGCATCAAAAGGTAAGTGGTCTCCCTAAGAGGGATCCCAGGAACACTTGGAAAGGAGCAAGGAGGTGAGAAAAGAAAAAAAGTAAGTAAGCAAAAAAGTGTGTGTCATCAGCCCTCTGAGAGAAACTAAATCCCATCTCCTAGTGAAATACTCAAGTGCTGTGTATATAAAATACACATCAGAGTTGCCCCAAATGAGGAAGATGGACATTTTCTCTTCTTTTCTTTCCCAGCAATTTCCTGTATTTCATTGGTAGAGGGCTGTTCCCTGAGGCATTAATCCTCTGACACTCCAGCTGGTCCTGCATAGGACTGAGGCTATGCCTGTGGCACCTCAGACAGAGTGGCAGGTGTTTGCAATAAACAGTGTCAGCTACTACTATTGTATTTTTGATTGATACTATAACACCAATATGATCTTTCTTAATTATATAACAAAATCTAAGTTAAAATAACACAAAGTAAATACAGTAAGTATTCGTGGGTATTTGGTATTGCGCTAAGTCCTAGGCAATTATTTGGATAATTGCAACATATACACTACGATATGTTTTGGCTATGTCACCAACCAAATCTCATCTTGAATTATAGCTCCCATAATCCCCACATGTAATGGGAGGGGCCCGGTGAGAGGTCATTAAATCATGGGGGTGGGTTTTTTTTCTGTGTTGTTATCATAATAGTGAATAAGTCTCATAAGATAGGATGGTTTTATAAACGGCAGTTTCCCTGCACACACAGTCTTGCCTGCCACCATGTAAGACATGCCTTTGCTCCTCCTTTGCCTTCTGCCATGTCTGTGAGGCCTCCCCAGCCATGCTAAACTGTAAGTCCATTAAACCTCTTTCCTTTATAAATTATCCAGTCTTGGGTATGTCTTTATTAGCATCGTGAGAATGGACTAATGAACACTGGAAACTGAGACTTCATTTGGTCATTTTGGACTCCATGCCACCAGAATAACAGGTACAAAAAAGGGATAATGAATCCTACTATTAACTGGAAATAATCAACTGCAGGAAGAATACCAATGGAATCCAAAGGGTGTAGTCCAAATGCCTCTGTTTTTACATGTCCAGTGTCAAATGTTCACAGAATCGTATAGCATTCTATAAAAATAAGACCCCAGTAATTAAACTTTTCAACATTTCCCTGTCACTTAAGGGATCTTGGAAGCTGAGTTTCCTTTGCAGCCAAAGAGAACATGATGTGGACAGAAGAACTGGCAAGTCATAAGTACAAACGATAACTTTAGGATCTGTTACAGAAAAAAGTATTGTATCTTCTGTATTTTCATTTTTATAATTTTATAAATAATTCTAACATTTAGCTAATTTTCATCTCCCTCTCTTGCCCATCATAATTTTCTAAAGGGTGTAGCATTGGCTAACTTTATTATTCAGGAGTCTATGTTCATGAATATTGAGATGGGATTGTGATATAAACAAAAAGAGAGAGGGAATGAATATTACTCACAACTCTTAGATTCACTAACTGAGAAGACTTTAGCTTGCCTTTATTTTTTAATGAAACACGGTTACGTGATATCAAACAATAGCATTGTCCCTCCTCCAGTGTGGAAGTATAAACATTTATGTGCAGGTGGAAAAGAGAATTTTAGAGAAATGGCAAGGTGGAGAAAGTGGGTAGCAGCAGAGAAGTCTCCATTACCACCAACAATTTGGAAGGAATGTATGAGTTTCCTATGGCGCATCTCACAGGAGAAAGCTGGGCTTTAGCTTATATGCTGGAATCCCATTCCAGAATGTTAGCCACAAGCAATGGATTTTTAAGCAGCAAGAGTCTGTGGCATACTTTGCAGTAGTCAGGCATAGGAGACACTGACAGGAATCAAGCTGAAATAGATTTCACTCCTCAAGGAAATATACAGATAGAAGGGTCCCCAACATTGGGTCCCCAGAAACACACATGAGAGACCAATGTTTGGAGGCAACCATATAGGAAGCATTGAGGATCTCTTCTTCTTCCCCTATGGTTTCCATTCCCAAAACACTAAGGGAAAGAGGGACCTAGAAGAGGATGGGGAAGGAGAAGCGACAGGCACATCAGGCTCCCTTTTACACATCAAATCCTGCAGGCCTAAGTCTGGAGAGGGCAGCTGGGCGGGGTCTAATGGGGAGGGGGCTGGAGCAGGTAGGAATAAGTTTCCAAAAGGCATACTTAAAGGTAGTTATTGGAGAAAACTAAAAACAATTTCATATCTATATCCTACCAATTTTAGTTATCTGAAAAAAAAATTGAAGACTCAGAAAAAGCCAGAAAATGAGGGAACAGGAAATAAACTAAAACAAAAACCAATTATATTGTCAGTGAGTTATTAGAATTAAGAATCCTCTTCCATTCCCATGTGTTTTTAATGTTTTCATATACTACATGTAATAAAAAGATAATTATGACAAATTCCATATACCATAGTTGATTATATATATATATATACACACACACACACAAACATACATAGATGTATACAAACACACGTTCACACAGTTGGCCCTTGATATCCATGGGTTTTGCATCCATAGATTCAACCAATTGCGAATAGAAATATTTTTAAAAATTGCATCTTTACTGAACATGTAGGGACTTTTTTCCTGTTATTACTCCGTAAACAATACTGCATAACAATCATTTACATAACATTTACATTATTTTTGGTATTCTACATAATCTAGAGGTGATTTTAAATATATGGGAAGATATGCAATCTTATATGCAAATCCTACACCATTTTATATCAGGGACTTAAGCATCCATAAATTTTGTTATCCCATGGGAGGTCCTGGAACCAATTACCCACAGATACCAAGGGATGACTGTCAGTATGTGTGTATGTGTGTGTGTGTGTGGGGGGGGGGTGTACACATAAATGTAAACCTATAAAGGTGAAGCAAAAGTTTTATATACACGGTATTTTTCTTAGAATAAAGCTATAACACTATTAGATATTTTAGAATTGTATTCATATTTATAAAGTTTAGAAAACCTTGAAGGAGCATGAGCATGGATTCAGGGAATCAAGTTTTGAATATTTCTGCATCTCTTGACAGTGTCTTATAGGCTCAACTACTTTTCCCTTTCTGGAAATATCCCGCATTATAACTTGGGATATAGGAAAAGGGATAATTGTAGCTTTTTAATTGGACACTATCAGAAAGCACAAAATGCTAAAGGCAGACTACCTACCTAGCACCTTTAGCTTTATCTCTGATATAGGGATAAAACTTAATATATCCAAGAGGAAACAAAGATGGGTCCAGAGTATTTTCATCACAGTTAAAAAATTACCTTCATGTTCTCTTTTCCAAGGATCCTTCATGAATGAATACAGTGTCCTCTTACTTATTTTTATTATTTCTATAATATAATTTATTCGGTTCTGAAGTTTGAGCCTGCATTTTGGCTTTGACTCACACTGACATTTTTAGTCATCTCTTAGAAATGCCTGATGTCAAATGCATATAATCACCAAAATATAATAAATCACAAAGCAACTTGAAAGAAAAATTTTTGAACAGTAATATCCTAGAAGCTTATCAGGTGGGAACTTTGACATATGAAACATAACTGAGTTTCAAACAAAATACCAAGCCTGCCTCTTGGCCATTTCAAAGAAAATCTTGTAGCTTTTTTTTATATGAAAGTACCATAAAATGAGATTTCCCTCATGGAAACCCTAGAGCACAGGATTTTACATTTGAAGTCAGGATTTAGGGAATTATTATCATGTTTTGGGAAGATACCAAGGCCAGAAATCCACTGAGTCTTTTATACTGAATTGAAGAAAATATCATGGTCATAAATATTAAAAAGTAGATTTTACTTAGTTTTATGGAAGTTAAAATCACTAAGTAAGCCATTCCATACAGCTTTCGTATGAAATCTATCATAGTTATTAAAATTATTTACAAAATTGTAATTCATGAACACTAAAAAAACTGTTATTCTCTATTAACCATAATTCTGCATTTTTAATGATACTTCAGTTCACTACAGTAAAAATCATTAGTACTATTTATAATAATTCTGATGTTAAAATTTAGTTTAGTATTCAGTTTACCTTATTCTCAGGTTCTATGTGTTACTTACTCTGTGAGGTTTGAGTATCTATGAATTTCTTTATCAAGGCATCAGTAGTTTGGGTATAAAGACTGAGAGCATATTTCAGAGACTGAAGGTCTGGGCTTTTCTCCAAGAAATTCTTTTTCAGGCCATTTCCTCCTGCATGAAAATATTGCTACAAAGAAAAAAAAATCAGAGGCATTTAGAGAGGAGTATTGGAAGAAGGAATTTATTACTCAAATAGAGAACCTCAAATTGAATAATACAATTTGATCAATGTAAGATACAAAAATGGTGCCACCATTTTCCCATTGCTAAGTTACTATCATCTAATTCAGGTCCCATAGATATCTCTAAAATGACACTCAACATCACAAACCTCATATCCGAGAAGGCCTACTCCTTTTTCTCTTATGCAAACTTTAAACAAAAGAGATCATGCTGATGTAGCAGTCAAAATCCTTATTAGAATAACAGGTTTGGGTAACAATGATCAACTTGGTTATTGACTTCTGTTTCTTAAACATGAGAAAAATACCTAGGGTTGTCAAAATTTCATAGGGAAGGTAGCTTCTGGCCACATATTTTCCAGATACCAGTTTGAGATCGTAGGTCAGGTGTCTGCCACTCCATTTGCCCCATTATCTAATTACACATTGGTGTAGCTATAGGCCAACCTGATGAAGCAGAGTGGTCCTTGGAAATCCAACACCGCTTGAACATTGTATCTGATAAATGTAATTCAATCTTTTTTTTCCTATTGTTATTCAACCAAACTCAAAATATTCCAATATTTACAAATAAGATAATAGAGAAGATAGATGCTCATTGACAATAAGTACAGTCACTGAGGGATGTTAGCAGTTTCATACTACAAGTGTTATACACAGATATCTCTTTGAAATGCAGACTGTCTAGTGACATATGATAGAACTAAGGATTTTTTCTACCTGTTTATAAATAATATATTTATAATATTCTATTAAGGTTAGATAAATGGCTCTCTTTCTCTCTTCCTGTAGCAACAATGCTAGAGGAAACAAAACACTCACTGGTAACTGTGGCTCGGTATGACCTATAATTAGCACAGAATAAAATATGTTAAAGAAGCTCAAGAAATTATTCAGAGACACTCTCCTAAATGGCTACGTGTCATTCTTTTTTCCCACTCCTTAAGAACTTCTACAGCAGGACAATTCAATGAGCTGAAATATCAAAATTATCTCAGTTTTCTCCCCTATTCAAGGGGAGATGCAGGAACATTTTATGGAAATTAGCAAGCATTTGGTTGTAGTTTCAGAGAGTATAATGTAGAGGAGATTCAGGGTGTAGTCCAGAGAAATTAGGCAATTGGAATGTAAACTTAAGAAAGACTGGTGCAATTATAGACACCCTCCCCAGGGAGAAAAAAACCTATGGTCCTTTGAAATTCCTTTACTGAGTCTAGCTGGGTGCTGTGTGAACACACAGGCTTTGGCAAAAACTATATATGGTTATGTAATAAGACAAGGGAAAAAATGTCTTCTCTTTAGAAGAAGAAAAAAAATAATAGTTGAAATTGTTCTACACCTGGATCTTATAAAGAACGTTAAAACATTTTCACATGCAGAAAGTATTTAGAGAATTATTAGTCCAAACTGTTTCAGGTGCCTTAATGGATGAAAAAAGTATGACAATTCCTTTCTTTGAGAAACATAGTATTTAAGGATGGAAAAAAGATTATATGGATGTATTGAGGGGGATAGATGTAAATGTATTTAGATTGGTCTCCACTCTGTATCACCTAGAAGGGTGATGAGGTGCTCTCTGGAATACTGCTTACATAATGAATCAAGGAGCCATCAGAAGAAAGAACCCTCCCTGAGAGTAAAGAGCAGTGCTAGAGACTGAGCCAAAAGTAGGAGGGGAACTCTAGAAAAGAAAGCATTCTCTCTCTTAATATTTCTCAGGCAGGCCGCAGTCTTATCAAATCTGAGCCTAAGTGCTAGATTATAACAACGGAGGACAAGGAGGAGCACAGTGAGGAAGAAGAAGAGATGGAAGGAGAGCCAAAATGATAAAATGAAAATTTGCCATTTCTGGGGGGAAAATGAGCAGCAAAAATTAGTGGGTATTCTGTCTATGATACACATTTGGGTTATTTTCACTTTTAATTGCCCTGAGGCTACTTTAAAACTCTATAAATTTTAGAAAAGTAATAACGATAGTATAGATGATTTTTGTCCACAGTAGTACAAATTAATTATTTTGGGTGGAATAAAACTGAATATTGCTCTGTGGATAAATCTTGCCTTTGTTCCAGCTTGTCTTATTGCTTGTATATGGTTGGTTTCTGGAATTTTCCTCTGACACAGTAGTAACATCTTACTTGGTTTCCTCAATAATTGATGACTTAAATAACATTTTGACACATTTTGTAAGTACATAAATATCACAATTATATCCTCTTTTAAAAAGTGTTCTTTAACAGTGTATAAAGAGTAGCATGAGTGACAGCATTCATACGGATAACCACAGGATTGAGTGTCTAATTTGTAAGATTGGACTGCAGGTTCGTCAGTCACCTTACTACTGACAGCATCAGTGGTAGTGTCTGCTGTGCCGCCTGTTTTCTCCCTCTTTTCTTTAATAAATATTTATTAAAAGTGTATGGTGAGCCAGACCTTGTGCTGGATGCCAACACTATAAAGCAAAAGAGACACAGTGGTTGCTCCCAAAGGGATTATGATCTAGTAGGAAATGTAACCAACTTTTAAACAAATGACTCCAACAGTACATGGAAAGTATTAGAATAATGATTTGAAAATACAGATAATAAACGAGGCATGCGCTTCTGTTGTCTAAGGCATCAGTAAAATGCTTACAAAGAAGTGACATCTTTGGTGGTTATCAGTTTTTAAGTACTGTTCTTTTCAGCAGCCAGTAGATAATTCGCCCTCGTGAACTAGAGAAAGAGAACAATCCCACCAAGTAACCAAGAGAAACCCTGGTAGTTTTGGCACTATTTAAGGAGAGCTGAAGTGTTTTAGTTCTCTAAGTATAGCTTAGATATAGTTTTAAAAACACTGTTTTCTACCATTATTCTATACCCATCAATAACTTGTGCTGCCTCTAGGTACTAGAGGGCCTACAGAAGTTAAAAGACTTGGAGTAAACCCAAATGCCCATCAATGATAGACCGGATAAAGAAAATGTGGCACATATACACCATGGAATACTATGCAGCTGTAAAAAAGGATGGGTTCATGTCCTTTGCAGGGACATGAAAGAAGCTGGAAACAATCATTCTCATCAAACTAACACAAGACCAGAAAACTGAACACTGCATGTTTGCACTCATAAGTGGGAGTTGAACAGTAAGAACACATGGACACAGGGAGGGTACCATCATACACTGGGGCCAGTTGGGGGTGGGGGATAAGGGAGGGATAACATTCGGAGAAATATCTAATGTAGACAGCAGGTTGATGGGTGCAGCAAACCACCATGGCACGTGTATACCTATGTAACAAACGTGCACATTCTGCACATGTACTCCAGAACTTAAAGAATAATAAAAAAAGAAGTTAAGAGAGGACATTGCATCCTATGGATTCCCAACGCATATTAACATGGTAAAGGCTCTGAGACATACTGTGGTAAAGAAGTCTGTGTAATCTTATATTACTACACCTTGCTGCTAAAAGTATTAGGCCATAGGACACCTATCTCACTGGGCATATATTAACACTTTTGGGGATGCAAGTGTTCCATGGAATATGATTTGGGAAACCTAAGAACAGAAGAATGTCACTGGATTTCATATAACTGAGATATTGTCGAGGGCCTAGAAAGCTTCATGGGAGAAGGGAAAAATAATTAAACTATGAAGGTATAAACTATGTACTTGTACTGGAATCTTTTAAAATAATTTTCTAGAAAGGAATGTTTTTCATACTAAGGCATTATTTTGTAGGACCCTGGGACTTTCTGGACTCATCAGGAAATGAAATCATGAATGACGTGTGTGCTTGTACCTGAGGAAAGTCCAAGGGTCCCTGTGGTTTTAGGTTACGATGCTCAACTGACTTCCTCCTTTTTAGCCATAGAGTTTTACATGTTATTCCATTAAAGCCTCTAGCAGGATATTTACTGAATAGAAATTTTGTAAGGGCAGAAACTAAGGCCTTTATCTTTTGAGCACATTTTATATTATGAAATGTGGCGAGAAAGAAACCCAGGACGGAGGGTAGCTATGTCAGAGGAGAAAGCAAATTATCAGGTGGTAAGAATGAAAGCCCCTCGTTGAAGGGACACAGACAAATAATATATGCCGTAGGCTCCTCACTCCAACAGTGAAGAAGGTGATTTCTATGGCTATGCAAATGCAAACTCGCTGAGAGTGCTACTTCTTGAAAGTCTTTCACACAGTGTTCAGAATCTGGAATGACAGCATCTAAGAGCACCAGTCTGGTTATCTCACCAGCACAGACGATCAGGAGAAAGGGGGCTGCAGTTATTACATGGACCTTGGCATTCAGAAGATTTTGCATTCAATTTTGACTCTATGCGCATGACCCTGAAGGAACTGAAGAGCAGAATTTACATTGTGCTGAGGCTTGGGTTTGAAGGCTATAAATGTGGGGCTGAAGTACAGAAATAAATACCTTAATTACTAGACAAAACCCACTATCCACAGCTCAGTGCAGGGTGGCTGATCTTCATTCATTAAAATGGGCATTTTGTGGGGGGTATAACATGCTAGAAAGGAATTTGCAAATGTGGGGTTTTAAAGCTTTCTGGATGTTTTCATTATGCCTGTGAAAAGTACATTATTTTCCATTGACAATAAACAAAAGACCAAGACTTGGTTTCTTAAAATTCCTCTGTGGCCTGCAGCATAATCTAAGAAACTTCAGTTTGATCTGTTTAGATGTTTTACTTAGACTGACCTAAAGTAGCAGGAAAAAAAATGGACAAAAATCAGTTAGGACAGGTCATTTCCTCCTTATTGAAGAAAAGAATTTGTAATCTCTCAGTTGACGGACTGTGGAGGAGTTGGTTGTTTCGTGCAAAGAAGGATAAAGATGTTAGCTGGAAGACATTCTCTCTTCTTCTCTATCCTGGCTGATATTTTCACTGTGGACTTGAAAAACCAAAGGCAGAAAGCATGTTTGACTAACGTGCAGTTGAGCTGAAGCTTAAAGGTGCTACACTGGATGAGGACATTTGGCTTTAGAAAGGTCCTGGTAGTCTGGTATGCTGGGTCAACATTTCCAGAAGGAGATGGCAAAAAGGAAAGGAAAAAGTCAGAATTCACAATAAATATTCATATTCATGTTTACCACCAAGTACAGAATGGGGGTGATGTGGCTTAACAACAGAAAATTTTAACAAGTTGTAAAGATTTATTTGCTGTCTAGTTCAACACGATTTCCTAAGTGAGAAGGCAGCTATTAAAACAAGTTAAATCTGATCATGCATCAAAATAGGTAGATAGATCAAGAATAAATGTTTGGTAAGGCAAGAATATTCTTCATTGGTTAGAACATGTCTGGGATATTAAACTCATTCTTGGGCTTAATTATTTATAAGAAATATTGAAAGCGGAGGCCATTTAAAGATAGGTAACTAGAATTTTACAAGGTCTAGAAGGCCCGTTATTCAATAAACAGTTTCAGATGACATGGGGTGGCATGATAGTTTTCTTCAATATCTGAAGTCTATCATACAGAAAAGGAAATAGAATAATTTAATAGTAGTTTAAAAGAACAGAAGGAGCACCAAAACATAGCAGGGGAGGAGATTTTCGTTTGATACATTCATCAAAATTTTCTAACAGTGCATCTTAAAAATGAAAACTTCCACTTGTAGTTTAGTGGCCACTATTAAGCGGTGGCCAATTGACCATGTGCAACCACTGGTCACTCATATCCATCTTTCCCTTTCTCCTCCGAAAGCCACCAACTTAGTGATGGCTCTCATCATCTTATGAACTGAAATCTCTAACTATAATCTTGGACTATGCCGTCTAATTTGTGCATTTCCATAAGATTCCTATTGCTGAAATGACTTTAGCATAACACTTTGAAAATCATCAGTGAATCCTCTTTGAGGGAATATACTGAAGGCACGAAAGGACCTCTGTATTTTCAACCTAAACATTTCCCATCAACCTCACTTTACAACATTGTATATGACCTTGCATCTCTTTGTATGAGCAAGAGCGAGAGATGTTCATTTATGTTTCCAATTCTGCAATTCTAGAATTCTCTTAACCTCTTGGATTCTGTGATCTTTATAATGGGCTTGAAAATATCCCATCCTGATATTATATTTGTTAGTGGTATAATTTCCCATGTAGTTTTCAATATTTTATTTACTTTTATAATTCATAGCCCTCTTCTGACATTTGTAAAGTCTTCTACCCTAGATACATTAATATGTTGGTTTCACGAACGTCAGGGTGCGTGGTAAGGGGCACTGTTATCACCCTGGGGGTAGGAAGGAGCTATATATGCAGTATCATTTTTTTATCTTGAAAAATAACTGTATTTTTTTGTTTTATTATTGTTATTATTCATGACTTTGCAGAAAATAAAGCACTTGAGACCTGGTTGTGATTTATGGGGCAAAAAAAAAAAAAGTACTGCTAAATTAAAAAAAAATCAGGAAAAATATGGCCTACATACTTAGCAAGCTATTCTTTTTATAATCCCAATAAAACTCTCTGAAATCTTCTAACTCTCCAAACTCTAGGATTGCAGATCTCTCACAATCTATTTTTACTGACTCATGGGTGGGAACATGCTATTGTTTCTTTGCAAGATTATCAAAAGAATTCCCTTTTTTGTTAAATATACTATTTTGGTAGCAATTTTCCATCATTACTTTTCTCTTTCCAACACCTGTGTTATAGTTTTGGCAAATCCATGCAGACAGTCCATTTTGCAAACTTAAATATAATCATAACCCACCCTAACTTTATACTTTTAGTGTTTAGCCACTAAAGATTTCTGTTTTTAGGAATTTGACAGATATTTTAAAAAATTGTTTTCTACCACAACTGGAGTTCTCTTTTACACATCAGATCAGAATATGCTCTTCCTGCCCATAAAATATCTCAGTGTTTTGCTTTTACTGACAAACTAAAGTCGAGATTCTTTACTTTGGTATTTAAGCCTTGGCATTCTGGCTTTAATCCAATGTTCCTCTTTCATTCCCTGTGATACTCAGCCAGTCGTGATCTGTTCTTCTACATCAGACTATTTAAAGTTTTCAAGCTGACCAATGCCTTCTCTTATATCACTCATTCTGTATTTTCTACAGGTCTACAAGGCTTTCCTCCCATTGTTTTTTCCCTCTCTATCCTCTACATCTCCAAATGTCCTTCTCTGGGGAGCTTTTCCCTGGACATACAGAGAAAATTCATCACCCTCTGTGCCCTCCCCCACCGTTTGCCCACAATTATTTTACTGATTGTGGATAGTTTTTGTTCCCAAGTCAAACGCAAGTGCCCTCATCTCCAGCTACCTCCTCACTGCTCATCGTATTTGCTACCTACAGTCAGCTCTCAAATAATGATTTTTGAATGCTACCCTCTAAACTAAGTAGTTTATTTTGCTCTCAAGAGCAGCTGGATTTTAACCAAGGCAAAACTATGCTTGTAATGGTGAAAAGAAGATGCTGAGAAACAGCCACTGGCACCACTCCATGGACAACAGAGATGGCAGGATAGGGTTAGAAACTCTGTGAAGGTAAGGACCTCCTGAGGCATAAAGATGGGCAGGGCACAGGGTCGACAGAGTCTCATAGCAGACACCGCTGGCCTAGCATGGAGGTACCTAGAGAAAGAGTTGGTATCACAGAAGTTAGGGAGTAGGGAAACTGGAGAACTGCCACAGGCTCTGAGGCGCAGGAGAACCACAGTCAGATGCCAGTCCTGGAGGAACAAGACAAATGACATGGACCCATTTACTGGGTCTTGGACACCAAATAGGAGTTTCTTCCACAAAGAACAAGACAAGTGTCTGGTGTCTGAGACTGAATTAAAATACGCATAGGTGATATAAACAGCAAGATAGGATAGTTGAGCTGTCAAGATAAAAGAAACTTATTTGCTTGAAGATCATTATCTTAAAGTCTGAGAAGAAATAGGCCTGCAGGTGGTGATCATGTGACCCATCAATAAAAATTAGAGAAATGCTGAAGTTAGAGACAGAAGCCAGATCTGTGAACACCATGAATACCATTCCCAATTTCCACAGAATACATTTTCCTTCCTTTCCTGAATCCAGGCATTGACCTAATAAAATGCATGAAGGGCTGAATTCAGATGCTAAAATTTTTTTTTTTCTTCCTCCTCATGGTCCACTCTAGAGCTTATTTTTTCCTACTAGCATGTCCTTATAGGTAGCTGTTAGTGCTACTGTAACTCCAAAAATGAGTTATTTCTTCCTCAAATTTTTGAAAATGATTTTAAAAATAACTTTTAAAGAGTTTTATTGTATTTCTTTTTCACGTTGTTCATTTCTTTTCCTCAAAAATATTGTGCAAATTTTCCATTTCCAGACAACATCCCTGCTACCTCTTTAGAAACTCCATTGCTGTGATCCAGGTGCCCCCAGATGTCACACAACTCTCACCTTCCAACTTTAATATGGCAGATTTTGACACTGCAGCAGCAAAAGACTGCCTCATATTAATTGCTGAAACTGCAAAATGAAAACCACGAGGTGACAGTTTTGTGAAACTATGTGACCGTTATTCAGATAGAACTCTGTTGAAATGAGCACCGTTGTTTCTATACAGCAGAATTGTTCTGTGCTCTACAAATGGCTCATGGTAGCTAATAGTTACTGCAGAGTTACTAGGAATGCTATTCACACATCCTCGATAGTAGATGCTTCCTCCAGTGAAGAGTGAAAACTTTAGACATAATTTGAATTTAGAAGACAAATTCATCCTTCAAACTCTTAAATAAATGTTCACATATAAATATAGCTGTATATAAATATAAAATAAATTATTTGAAAACAACTTCTAGGTTACATCTTGAGATCTGCACACCTTTAGCAAACACTATAGTAACTTTTAGTTAACCTTTGGCTATGAAAACAATTGATGCATACAACACAATGTGTGGGTTTTCAGCAGAAAATGAAATTAAATTACTGTACTTACTAAGCAAGAAGAGAAGATTGGTATTTTAAAAATCATTTCAACATGCATAGAAAACAAGTAAAAACAAATTCTGTCAACCCAAAATATTCTGGAAGCATCTGTTTAACTGGGTTTTCGGGTACATGTCTTTCTTTGAGAACATATGTTATGACATAGGTTTCACTTACGCTTTAGAGAGAGGACAAAGGAAGCAAGTATAAGAACAGTGTATTGTGGATGAATGAGATAAACAGGGCTGAATCTGGCATCCTCCAGGAATGTATTAGCTTGGTGCAATTACATATTGCACCAACTTACATCTATTCAACTATATATTTGGATGCCATAGCTCTACAGATAAATGGCTGATATCAGGACTACTCATCTCTGGAGGTAAATGGGGGCCTCCCTGGATGTATACACAGGAGCACTAAAACCTTACCTTGATGGTAGCCAGGACTACCTCCATTATAGCGCATTGTCTTGGTGTCAGACCTTTGGCATCCTCTCGAATCATGTGCTCCTGGAAAACAGGTTAAGAATTGCTTATAAAATAACCAGTTCATGTATTCAACAACTACTTTAAAACATAACCTACAGGGCTACAGTAATCAAAACAGCATGGTACTGGTACCAAAACAGAAACATAGACCAATGGAACAGAACAGAGGCCTTGGAAGCAACACCACACAACTACAACCATCCGATCTTTGACAAACCTGACAAAAACAGGCAATGGGAAAGGACTTTCCATTTAATAAATGATGTTGGGAAAATTGGCTAGCCATGTGCAGAAAGCTGAAAGTGGACCTTTTCTTTCCACCTTCCACTAAAACTAACTCCAGATGGATTAAAGATTTAAATGTAAGACCTAACACCATAAAAACCCTAGGAGAAAAACTAGGCAATACCATTCAGGACACAGGCATTGGCAAGAACTTCATGACTAAGACACCAAAAGCAATGGCAACAAAAGCCAAAATAGACAAATGGGATCTAATTAAACTTAAGAGTTTCTGCACAGAAAAAGAAACAATCATTAGAGTAAACCAGTAACCAACAGAATGGGAAAAAAAGTTTTGCAATCTACCCATTGAACAAAGGACTACTATCCAGAATCTACAAAGAACTAAAGCAGATTTACAAGAAAAAAAAACACACATAAAAAAGTGGGTGAAGTATATGAACAGACACTTTTCAAAAGAAGACATTTATGCAGACTACAAACGTATGAAAAAATGTTCATCATCACTGGTCATTAGAGAAATGCAAATCAAAACTACATTGAGATACCATCTCATGCCAGTTAGAATGGGGTTCATTAAAAAATCTGGAGACAACAGATGCTGGAGAGGATGTGGAGAAATAGCAACACTTTTACACTGTTGGTGGGAGTGTAAATTAGTTCAACCATTCTGGAAGACAGTGTGGTGATTCCTCAAGAATTTAGAAATAGAAATTCCATTTGACCCAGCAATCCCATTACTGGGTATATATCCCAAAGATTATAAATTGTTCTATTATAAAGATACATGCACACATATGTTCATTGTGGCACTGTTTACAATAGCAAAGACCTGGAACCAACCCAAAGGCCCATCCATGCTAGACTGGACAAAGAAAATATGGCACATATTCACCATGGAATACTATGCAGCCATAAAAAAGGGCAAGTTCATATTCTTTGTAGGGACATGGATGAATCTGGAAACCATCATTCTCGGCAAACTGACACAGGAACAGAAAACCAAACATTGCATGTTCTCACTCATAAGTGGGGTTTCAACGATAAGAACACGTGGGCATAGGGAGGGGGAACATCACACATTGGGGTAGGTTGTGGGGTGGGGTGCTAGGGGCAGAAAAGCAGGGTGTGGGGAGGCTGGGTAGGAAAAATAATGGGAGAAATGCCTGATGCAGGCAACAGGGGGTTGGAGACTGCAAACCACCATGGCATGTGTGTACCTATGCCACAACCCTGCTGGATGTGCACATGTACCCCAGAGCTTAAAGTACAATAAAAAATGAAAAACATAATCTGTATTATCCTCATATGCAAAATTCCCTGTTTAAAATATCTTCTGCACATGAATGCATTTAAAATAAAATTATTGTTTTGTCATATATTTTATAAATCTCCACTTGGTCAAAGGAAAAAGTGTTAAATGTCTAGTTGAAAACAAGTGCTCTGATAGGCGTGTGGCTTTATTTTCACTTGCAAGCTAATGTTAGGGAAAAAAGAGAGAAACCTGGAAATATGTGACAAATTTTTTCACATGACTTCCTTGGTTTACATCTGTCACATTGATGAATGTCAATCATGAAAAGGATATAAGGAGCAAATTTTAGCCTCTCCCAATTACTACTAATAAAGTCTATTTGAAATATAATGCCTCCATTGTATTCTGCTCCTTATATACCTTCAGTTTTCACTCATTCCTGGGAAAAGCCTAAAAGAATTAGCTAAATTTGGCTGTGAGGATTTTAACTATTTCATAATCATTTAAAATATTTCAGAACTGATTTTAAAACGTATTTCATTATTTTACAATGGATTTTCTTCATTGTTCACTGTGGTCTGTTTTAACCCATTATACAAAACTTATTTAGGAAAATGATGGCAGAAGAGGAAAATGACAAAGGAAATAAAAATCTAAGGTATAAATTAGAAAACATCTGACCCCTTCTCCCAAAAATGATACACTCATCCCAGGGCTGCCATTATTCTATTCAGCAATACTTGACAAATATTTATTGAGTGCTTCTTATGTGCCAGCAATGTTCATGATGACTGAGATATATTGAGGGAAGACTTTTGTGCTTCTGGAGCTTAAACTTATGTTGGTGCCTTTATGAATTAGAAGAAAAGTCCCATGTGGGTGAACACAGCTCTGAGCATGTATGGAATAATGAGTAAGGCAGTGCCTTTGGTGCCTGTGGTGAGTAATAAAAGGTGTCTTTTTTTTTTTTTTTTGAGAGAACAGCTTCAAGGCAGCACATATGGCTTGGCAAGTGGAACATAGGCTCAATTTCAGCTGTCACTTGCTCCTTTAGATATACATTTTTGTGCTATGCACACACCATGCAATCACACCCAGTGGTTTGTCCTTCTATTCCCGCCGTTTTCTTATTCTTTTATTTAGTAGTTGCCATGACTTCCTGAAGATAATAATCTGTCTATGTCTCCCACTCACTCCTTCCGCTTTTCAGTGTCCATTTTGGCAGTTGTTATCTGCTAGGCACTCAGTATATTTTTGGTAATTGAATTGTGCTTCCTTCAGTGTATGTCACAGGATTTAATATGCTTGAGTAGAATCATTGTTTTTGGATATTGCTAACAATATGGCATAATGCTTCATGGATCCATGATATATATTTATACATCTTAGTGCATCTTTCTCTGATATGAGGATTTCAAGTTAATCATATGAGTTTATTTCAGTTTTTAAATAGCAATATTATATGCTCATTGAGACTCAAAGAGTAACAGAAATATTTGCTGAGTTATAGGGGAAAATGCTTTCAGACAAGTAATTAAAAATGCTTTCTATTAAATAAATTTCTCTGGCTTCATAAGTCTTCACTGGTTGAACAATATGGTTGCATTTTTAACAGATGCTAATAAATGATATGCTGGTGCTATGGAAATATAATTCTTACTAGAAATAATATTTTAGAATTTAGCAACAGATCATTCAAGTGAGGGGGTCTCTGAAAGAGGCCAGCAATGAGTTATTACCCAAGTAAAACACATGCAGTAAACTCACAGTCCCAGGTGTATTTTCATCAATTGGTTTTGATATTATATCACCAGTTCCTGAAGATTTATGCATATTTTGTTTGA